AGTGTGAGCTGCGTGGGAGCAGTGGATGAGAGAAGGAGAACACACATTCACCAAGACAGAGAGACAGCGCCAAGGCACTTAGGCAACGATCTGCCAACGAATCGTGGACACCTGGACTAAGGATCAGAATCAACTGTGGTCCGAGCTTTCACCAAGACCAGAATCATCACTGGGGAACAGTAACCACACTGACTCGGATCATGACGAGAGGGATGTGGACGTGTGGACACCAGAATCACGCAACTGTTTGAACTATTATGAATTATTGTGAATACAACTAGGGATGGGCATGATTAGTCGATTAATCGAAAATTGATCATTAAGAATTTCATCGATTACGTTAATTTTAATCGACAAACCGAATGTAGGTTGCTGTGTGTAGCGTGACCAAACAGGTGTGTACATGTAGCTCTGCATCAGAAGGAGCGAGACACAAACAGTGGGTCAGTCTGCAGTGAACCGAAGCACAAATGTGGATTTAACGATGACTTGTACAAGAAATTCCACACTTTCCGTTGCATTCGAGACAAGTGTGAGTCCATATGCACAGTGTATAAAGCAGCACATATGTTTCTGTGTCCAGTGGGAAAAAGTTTTGCCAGGTGAGAGTCGCGCAATGTGGATGACGAGTCCCCACCTCCCTCCCCCCGTACGGTGTCCTGGTTTTGACAAACGCAAATCTGGTCACACTAACCTGTATTCACCTGAGTCATGTCTTTTAATCCAACACAAGTTGAACCACATCAGCCACACAAGAGCTGGAGTTTTATCTTCACTTAGTTTATGCAAATTAGCGATGCAGTTTTAAGTTTTGTTTCTGTGAGATTTGTGTAAAACTGAATTAAACACATTATAATGTCAAACAGCTGATGTGGCTCTAGAGCGGTCACGGTTTATATGTCGTAAAGTTGAATTTATTTATGCAGATTAGTAGTGCAGATAGTAATAATAATGATGATCATTTTAATATAAAAACGTTAATGATTAATCGATAATCGATCGTTAATTCTTCCGACGATCGATTAAAAAAATTTCATCAAACGCCCATCCCTAAATACAACAACAATTTAGTGTCTCAGATAGTATTTTTTTGTTTTTGTTTTACACATTACAATTGAACAAAGTTGAGAGTTATTGTGAACGTGTTAAATAAAGTTTGACTGACTTAACTAACTGTTGTGTTTGGTTTAATCGTTTTATAGTCCAGTGTAGTTTATATGTGAAAAAGTTTGAAAATAGACCATTCAATGACAGTGCACCTTATAATCCAGAGTGACATATCGTGCAAAAAATACAGTACTGTAGCTCCACGATGTCTCCCTGTCACTTACACAACCATCTGGAAGAAAGAAGAAAGGATGGAGACAGAAAGAGAGAGAGAGAGAGAGAGAGACAGAGAGAGGGTTAGTAGTCGAGAAGGAGAGAAGTAGGGAGAGAGAGGGGGAGGAGGTGAGAGAGAGAGAGAAGTAGGGGGTGAAAGAGAGGGAAAGATAGAGGGGGAGAGGTGGGTTAGATCGGAAAGAAGAAGAGAAAAAGAGATAGAAAAAAATTAAGAGAGAGAGAGGGAGTAAGAGTGAATGAAGAAAGAAGGAGACAGAGACAGGGAGAGAGGAAAGCAAAAACATGAAATAAAAGAGACAGAGAGAGTAAGATGATGGGGAGAGGTAGAGAGAAAGAAGACGGATGAAGAGATACAGGAGGGGTGAGAGAGAGAGCAGAGAAGTAGAGCGAGAGAGAAGAAATGGAATGGAAAAAGGCGGGAGAGAAGATGGATAGAGAGGGAGAGCAGAGATAAAGACGGAAGAGGAAAGTAAGAAACAGATGAGGGAGACAGAGAGAGAGATGTACAAAGGAGGGAGGGAGGGACAGAGAGGAGAGAGAGAGGTAAAAATAGAGGGAAGAGGGGAGAGGTGTGGAGGGGGAACATGGGAGGGGCCACAGTCCTGGGGGAATACACTGTAAAAAAGAAAAAGAAAAAAAAAAAAAAAAAGGAACAGCTCTATGGGTAAAAGCTCCTTCAATTCACAAAAGGATCCTCAATTTATTTTATTTGATATTTTATTGCCTTAATAAATATATCATTCTTTTTTTTACGTTGAATTTGAATGGGTTAAAATCAAGACACTAATCAAAACTTACAACTTACAACACTAAGAATTTGAATTTGTATCAATAAAACAACATTTCTGAATGACATGATTTGAGAATTCCTACATATTTATTTATTTTTTATTATTAACATGTCACATATTTAGATCTCTAGGTTTCCTTTTATTGTTTTGAAAATGCTTTATTCACTGAAATCCCATTGCTCCCCATGCTAAGTCACTCCCCCTTCTGAGCAATATCGTAGCACACTCAGCGTACGTCCCACTGATGAAACTCCAGCACATCAGATCAGGTTTGTGAAGCTGTAGTGTGCACTTTTGTATCAGGTTTGTGTATATTTATGTAGAATTGTCGTGTGGGGGCGTGGCTGATGTAGGATTGTGGGCGGAGCCTTGTACAGAATCTTACAGTTAACAGTGTTGGGAGTAAAGCGTTATAAAAGTAACAAATTACTGTAATGTGTTGCTTTTTGCTGTATTGCAGTAATGTGGTATTACCGGGGGGGGGGGGGGGAAAGTAATATTTACTCAGTACAAATGTGAGTAATGCGCGTAACAATGCTTTTTTAACCCGGACTGAAGTGGTGGGTTTTTTTTCCATACAAATGCGCTAAAATCACCGCGATATCAGCAGAAGTGAAACACCAGAGACGCGCCCACGTAGACCGTCGGGTGACTGTGAGCGAAAGGACCGACACAGAACTCCACTCTAACATGGTTCAGTCCTGCTTCAGCTCTGGTTTAGTCCTGGTTTAGTCCTGGTTCAGCCCTGGTTTAGTCCTGGTTTAGTTCTGATTCAGTCCAGGTTTAGTCCTGGTTCAGTTCACAGTTCAGCCCTGGTTTAGTCCTGGTTTAGTTCTGATTCAGTCCAGGTTTAGTCCTGGTTCAGTCTTGGTTCAGTCCGGGTTTAGTCCTGGTTTAGTCCTGGTTTAGTCCTGATTCAGTCCTGATTCAGTCCTGGTTTAGTCCTGGTTTAGTCTTGGTTCAGTCCTTGGTTCAGTCCTCGGTTTAAGTCCTTGGTTTAGTCCTAGTTTAGTCCATGTATGGCGCAAAACTTGAGCATCTTCACAGTTCTTTTGGTGAGAGTAATTTAAAAGTGCTGTAATAGTCGTGTAATGTTTTACATTTTAAATACAGTAATATTGTAATGTAACTAATTACTTTGAAATGACAGTAACAAGTCATAAAGAACACATTACAATTTTAAAATAACTTGCCCAACAGTGACAGCTAACCACCCACCGTGAGAGAGGACCAGTTTGAACCAGTTTTGTACAGAATTTTATCCTCAATTAACTCAAATAAAGTGTAAAAATGCAGTGTTGTTTAGGTAAATCAGGATATCAGAATAACTCTACAAAGTGTTATCTGTTCACTCTCAAAACATTAATATAAGTCTGGATTTCAGGGTTAAACAGGAACTATGGTCCAGTGTTACTTAATGAACATTTACACAAATGTTAAATTAACTCTAGAACAGGAGAGAGACAGAGAGAGAGAGAGAGAGAGAGAGAGAGAGAGAGAGAGAGAGAGAGAGAGAGAGAGACAGAGAGAGAGAGAGAGAGAGAGAGACAGAGAGAGAGAGAGAGAGAGAGACAGAGAGAGAGAGAGAGAGCAGAGAGAGAGAGAGAGAGAGAGAGAGAGAGAGAGAGAGAGAGAGAGAGAGAGAGAGAGAGAGAGAGAGAGAGAGAGACAGAGAGAGAGAGAGAGAGAGAGAGAGAGAGAGAGACAGAGAGAGAGAGAGAGAGAGAGAGAGAGAGAGAGAGAGACAGAGAGAGAGAGAGAGAGAGAGAGAGAGAGAGAGAGAGAGAGAGAGAGAGAGAGAGAGAGAGAGAGACAGAGAGAGAGAGAGAGAGAGAGAGAGACAGAGAGAGAGAGAGAGAGAGAGAGAGAGAGAGAGAGAGAGAGGATGGAGACTAAGAGGGAGGATGGAGACAGAGAGTGAGGGAGAGAGAAAGAAAGAGAGAGAGAATGGAGAGACAGAGAGAGAAACAGAGACAGAGAGAGAGAGAGACAGAGGATGGAGACAAAGAGAGAGAGAGAGAGAGGGAGAGAGAGAGACTGGAAACAGAGAGAGGGGATGGAGAGACAGAGAGGATGGAGAGATGGAGAAAGACAGAGAGAGAGAGGATGGAAACAGAGAGAGAGAGAGAGAGAGAGAGAGAGAGAGAGAGAGAGAGAGAGGATGGAGACAGAGAGAGAGACAGACAGAGGATGGAGACAGAGAGAGAGAATGGAGAGACAAAGAGAGAGAATGGAGAGACAGAGAAAGACAGAGAGAAAGGATGGAGACAGAGAGAGAGAGAAGGAGGATGGAGAGACAGAGAGGGATAGTAAGTGAGAGGGAGAGAAGTAGAGAGAGAGAGAGAGAGGGGGGGAGGAGGTGAGAGAGAGAGAGAAGTAGGGGGTGAAAGAAAGGGAAAGATAGAGGGGGAGAGGGGATTAGAGAGGAAAGAAGAAGAGAAAAAGAGATAGAAAAAATGAAGAGAGAGAGAGAGGGAGGAAGAGTGAATGAAGAAAGAAGGAGACAGAGAGACTGTTACTTACTGATGATTTCCAAAAATGTTAAATTAACTCTAGAACAGACTGGACTCATATAAACACAGAGAAAATGTTCAAATTGATTCTGTGAATAAATAAAATAATAATAAAATAATAGCAAATATTCAAAAGTCAAAATGAAAATAGCAAATTGAGGCTAATTTAATCCTTTGCGCGTTGTTTTTTTTTTTGCAGTGTGCTCTGGGAGACAGGGAGAGAGAGGCTGATGTCATCGCTTTTGGGGCGTCCAATCAGAGGCGAGCGTGGAACAGAGGTGGGCGGGGCTAGAGTCAGGGTGTGTTTGTGCCACTGCAGCATCATCAGAGCAAGAAAAGAAATCCACCAAAAAGACCTGACGACCAGAGGAGCCAGGAGCTAGGACGCAGAGTGAGGACGCGGGCAAGGGAGCAAGGACGCAGAAAGGATCCTACGAGAAAGAAGGAGACAACGAAAGAGGAGAAGAGAGAGAAGAGCCAAGAGGAGGAGAGGTAAGAACACAATGGGGTTTCTCCTCTGCATGCTGCTGTGTGTCGCTGGGCTGGACACACACAACAAGGAGGGAAAGGTGAACCAGGACTAAACCAGGTCTAAACATGGACTAACCAGGTCTAAACCAGGACTAACCAGGTCTAAACCAGGATTAAACGATGTCTAGATTAGGACTAAACCAAGACTAAACCAAGTCTGATATAGAACTAAGGTAGGACTAAAATAGAACTAAAACCAGACTAAATCAAGACTAAACCAGGACTAAATTAGGATTAAATCAGGACTAAACCAGGTTTGATACAGGACAAAATCAGGGCTAAACCAGGACTAAACCAGGACTAAACCAGGACCAAATTTTGACTAAATTTCAAAATTTGGACAAAATTTGGACAAAATCAGGACTAGTAAGGGTTAAATACAACCTGGTTGAAGTAGGGGTGAACTAGGACTAAATAAAGTCTAAACCAGGACTAAACCAGGTTTAAATCAGGTCTAAACCAGGACTAAACCAGGTCTAGATTAGGACTAAACCAGGTCTAGATTAGGACTAAACCAGGACTAAACCAGGTCTAGATTAGGACTAAACCAGGACTAAACCAGGACTAAACCAAGTCTGATATAGGACTAAGGTAGGACTAAAATAGAACTAAAACAGGACTAAATCAGGACTAAAGCAAGACTAAACCAGGGCTAAATTAGGTCTAAATCAGTTCTAAATGAGGTGTAAATTTGGACTAAATCCGGACTAAGTAAGGGCTAAATACAACATGTCTGTAGTAGGGGTGAACCAGGGCTAAATAAGGTCTAAACCAGAAACCAGGACTAAACCAGAACTAAAACAGGGATTAAAGAAAGTCTACATTTGGATTAAACCAGGTCTAAATGGGGACTAAAGTCGGTGAGGGAAAGAAACTGGGGTTGAATCCAAACCAGGGTTAAACCAGGACTACATCCAGGATCCATGAAAAGGACTTGATCAGGATGAAGACCAGACGAAAACCACAGGGTCTAATCAAGGTCTAAACCTTGTCTAACATTAGTCTAACATAAGACTAACCCAGGACTAAACAGACATCAGATAAGAACTAAAGTCTGTAAACCAGGTCTAAACTGGGTCCAGTTTCGGACTATATCAGGACTAATACCTGTGCAATCTGGGGTTAACTGAGGTCTAAACCAGGTCTAAACCAGAACTAAACCAGAACTAAACCAGAACTAAACCAGAACTAAACCAGGAATAGACCAGGATGAAGTCAGATCTACCATTTTGGGACTTAACTAGGACTAACCGGGCTTAAACCAGGTCTCGGTCAGGTTTAAACCAAGACCAGATCTAACCCGCTTTTAAACCAGGTCTAGATCAGGTCTAGAGCAGGTCTAGAGCAGGTCTAGAGCAGGTCTACATAGAGCAGCCACAGACAGAGAGTGGGGTCCAGGGGGTTTAATGATGATCTCTTACATAATCACATGCTCAGCTGCTTATACAGTCTGAAATGCCAACCGTGATCGTCTGCTCCTGTCTGCTCCTGTCTGCTCCTGTCTGCCTAAAGTGAAAATGATTGTGAATATTCAAAAAGGTTTATTTTTTTGTACATGAATTGTAAGACTTAGAGAGTTTGACTGTAGTGACTTTACATTTTAGACTTTGAAGTTTCTCTGTTAAAATGGTGTATGAAGTTTGAGTTGAAACGTAGATTTCATTCATCATTTCCTGGGCTCGCAGTAGTAAAATTGCACTTTTCTGTCTCTCTCCTGTACGTTTGTATAAATATTAGATGAATGGCGCACTATAAGACATGTCTGTTTTAAATAATTGACTGGACAGTATAGTGCAGCGCTCTCACACGGGGGGGCTGGGGTCAGGGCTTTTCAAACACCACAGGAATTATCTGTGACCTCATCTTTTCCAAAAGAATGCAGATCTAGACCTAACGAGGACCAAGTCAGGACTAAACCGGGACTGAACCAGAGACAAACCAGGACAAAAACAGAAAGCAGGACAATGCTGTAAATGCAATGTTCTAAATCAGGGGACAGGGAGTGGGACTATACAGCCTAATATATCACCACGAATACAGTACTGCATTTCAGTAGTAGTAATACTAGTAGTAATAAGTAGTAGTAGTAGTAGTAACGGTAGTAGCACTAGTATTATCAGTATAAACACTAGACATTTCTGTCTCTTTGAGGTAATTTAAGTCATTTTAATTATAAACCAAACACAGCAAAAAGTGGAGTGTTAAAATTGACTCTCACGGAATCAATTGTAACAGTTTGTCAGTGTTTATCTGAGTCCAATCTGTTCGAGAGTTAATTTAACATTTTTGAAAATGTTAATTAAGTAACACTGGACCAAAGTTTGTGTTTAACCCAAAATCAAGAGTTATATGAATGTTTTGAGAGTGAACCAATAACACTTCGTAGATTTATCCTGATTTATCCAAACAACACACAGAGGGGTTTTATTTTTACACTTTATTTGAGTTAATTTAAGATGAAATTATGAATAAAACTGGTTCAAACTGGTCTTCTTTCACAGGGGTTTGAAGTGGTGGGTGGGCGGAGCCAAATTAACACTAAGGGAAGTCGAATTCACTTCAGTCATATCAACTCTGGCAAATAACCCCAAAAACAACTCCCTCCTAATATTTTAGTCTGAAATTTTAAGCCTCCAGTGTTAGATTTGATATTGTAATTTTGCACATAACAGCAGTTTCATTATTGTACTTTTTTCATATTTGTACCTCCCACCTCAGTCAGATATTCATGTGAAGCTGTATCATGATGCACTGAATTTACTTTGAAGATACTCGGTATTATTGGGTACTACTAGTAAAAATATTGTATATACTTTTGATATAAAGTGTCTCTCAAACACAGTACTGAAAGTATCTGTTGAGCTGGAACTTTCACAAAAATGTTTTGCTGAGTGTTAGAATGACCATAAACACAAAGACTAAAGCAGGACTACATCAGGACTAAACCAGGACTGAACCAGGTCTAAACCAGGACTAAACCAGGACTAAACCAGGACTAAACCAGGTCTAAAACAGGGCTACACCAGGTCTAACCCAGGTCTGACCCAGGCTCTTTGTTGCAGTGGTAGTTTTAAAGATCAATGACCTCGGCCTGGTTCTGTTGTTTACTCCTGAATTCCACCTTTAGTTCTTAGCAACTTTATTAGAGGCAGACAATGACATGCCTCAGGCTCGACTCTGGACCCTGGACGTGGACCCTGGACCGTGGAGTCTGGACTCTGGACCGTGGACTGTGGACCGTGGACTGTGGACTGGAGCTGCTCAACAGCAGAACAAACAAGATCTGCAGACACAACGAGCACAAAGAGAGAGAAGGAAAGAGAAAGGAAGAGGGAAGGGATGAGAGAGAGAGAGACAGGCTGAGATATGGAGAGAGGGAGAGAGATGAAGAGAGAGAGAAGGTTGGAGTGACATAGGGACAGAGGGAGAAAAAGAGGGGACAGAGAAAAGAGAGAGAGAGGGGGAAGGTAAAATAAGGAGGGAGAGGAAAAGAGTAAAGAGAGAGAGAAATGAGAAAGAGTGAAAGAAAGAGAGATGGGGTTGGTTTGTGGATCACTGGTGAAAGCAACAGTTGAAGAAACAGCCAAAACTATTTGCGTTTCAGAGTTTGGCAGAACTAAATGTTCAAATGTGTTTTTCATTTTCTCGTGTTTTTCATGTGTTTTTCATTTTTGTCTGTATCACTTTTTTCACATCTGTTTTTTATAGAGAGTAAAATCATTCCCTCTTTGCTCTTTGGTCACTTTTACAGAGTTTGGAGTTTCTTGTTTAGCGGAGCTGCGTTCATTCATTTTCAGGACAAACTCACATCCACAAAGAGCTGTAAACGTTCACCACAGACAAAGGCAAAATGAGCCTTTTCTATTTACTCGGCGTTTTACAATCACCCCAGTTCACCCCAAACAAACATGCCACCGGGCTGAGCGTGCACCCGCAGCAACACAAACTCTGCAGCTCTCACCAGCGAAGGACGAGGCAGAAAAGCCCAAATGAAAGAACATTTTTTAAACACTGGACTATGGATTAGTGTTAAAAAGTGGTGGTATTATAAAACGTGCACTGTGTAACTTTTCCAGTAGAGGGACCATCGCTTCGTCTCCATGTTGTTAGTTCCTGAAATCATCTACAGCAGCGGCCCCCAAACCTTTTAGAGCCACAGAAGGTTTAATGTTTCATGGAGCTGCCTTTAAGGTGTGACGGATAAATACGACAAAATAAAAAGATACGACAACACAAAAAATGTGGTATTTTCAAAATTTAATAATAAACGTTTCCAAAGACGTATCAGCTGAGCGACACACAGCAACATCACGAAACTCTGAGGAAGAACAGGGAGCAGAACAAACTGTCAGGATGAAAACAACATCAGTGGATCTTCTCAGCAGACTCGTTGAACGCCAAGACTGGGATCACTTTTCCATGTAGTCAAAAAACCTGACCTGTGTTTGCAAAACAGGTTTTATAGTCAAATTTCTCAAATCAAAAAGATCTTTCCATTGGTGTTGTACAACATAAATTTATCTTATCAATTGGAAAAATAACTAAAGATAGTTACCAATAAGTAACTACAGTTATTTCCCAAATGGATGGCTCATATCGTTTCAACTCATAGTAATAACAATGAATTGAGTCTTTCAAAATAAATTTTTAGGAATAACCATAGATCATAATTTAAACTGGAAATCACACATAAATACAATTAGGAACAAACTATCCAAAGTGATCGCAATTATATATAAATATAGATATACCCTAGATAAAAACAGTCTTTTTATTATATATAACTCGCTGGTAATGTTCTACATAACCTACGGTATTGAGATTTGGGGCAATACATATAAGACGAATACAAAGCCAATCTTTACCCTACAAAAAACGGCAATAAGAGCATCACATTATCAACTTATAACGAACCAACCAATGCATTATTTATAAACCTTCAAACGCTGAAATTTTACGAT